ATAAAATATGATTTTTAGATGTAAAACTATTATTAATTTATTATTATAATTAGAATTTATTTGCATTTAGAAGTGATGATTTTTCTCTAATTATTTAGGTTTTGCTTCCTTCTGGTTCTGTCTGACTGAATGACCCGGTTCTGAAGCAATCGATTCGTTGTTGCAGCCCTAGTTTTCATCACATTTAAAAACCAAGAATCAACAGTCATATGTCATCCGAATGTCTGCAAATAAACACTTTGCAATGGGAACCTTGTACAAAAATGTAGTTTTATTCTGTAAATAAAGTAAAGTCATTGTGTGCTATGGAAACTCCCAAGTTTTGAATCAAAGTTCTCAATCACAAACATGAAGAGGAGCTGTATTAAAGTTCACGTAGTGAGCCATAAAACCATTTTACCTCAGTTTACGTCCAACATACCAGTTTACCTGGTAGAGTACCCTGTGGCACTGAGAGCAGCAACTGCAGCCGTTGCAAGTCTCAACGACTCTCCTCGTGCTATTAATAGCTAAACGCTCAGTTTCTGTAGTGCATCCGTTTATTCTCCACAGACAGTCATGTTCTGCACCCAATAATAATTCATGCAAAAATACCATTATGCTTTCTTCTAAAGGAAGCAAACCAAAACTGTGCTCCTTTTGGTAACATGGTAAAAGATAAAAGAATTTAACTACCTGGGGCAACTTGACTCTCACTCCACTCGCTGGTCACCAGAACCTCAATGATCTTGATAAAAGCATCCAGACTGGGTTCACAGCTGGAATGGGTGAGGAAAGGAAAGAGAAAAAAGGAAAGTTAAAAGTTTACAGCTCAGGTGACGATCACTGCTGTTCTGGTTTCAATCTGATAGTAATTCTGGCTTAGCTACTTTAATTGCACTGCACAGCTGGTGAGGAGAAAAGCTCTAACCTATATTTGTGTAAAGCTAAAACCCATGAGTGCCTGACAGTCTGCAGTTAGTGCTCGACTGAACGTGCATGACTGAGCGTGCACACTCATCTCTCTGCAGGCTGAGCGTATCCATCTTTAACAAACTTGAACTCGTAGCTACGGTCCACTAATGCAACACTCACCTGGTGGGCTGCTGTCGGAAAAACACAGGGCTGAAGATCTCGCCCAGAGACCTGGCGCTGAGCAGGTTCTTGGGCCCGTTCTGGCACACTATTGCAAAATGCCTCAGCAGACACTGGAGAGTCAACCAGTATTGGGGCGGCAGGCTTGGGGAGCTGGCGATGCGACGCAGCAGCTGGGCACATTCCTCAGAGTTCACCACCTCTGTTGGAAAAGACGAGAGCAGCCAGAAGGTCAGATGGATGGGATGAGAAAAAAACGATGGTGCAGTAAAGGTCTTCCTCAGCTAAACAAGAGCATGAAATGAAAGTTCACTCTTCAAACGATCAAGAGATGGAAAAAGGCGTCATGTGCAGTTAGTTTTTAAAACCACAGAAAGACAGTGTGGTTGACAATGAGCGTAAGGTACACTAGCAGGTGATTGGCTGCTCAGAGATGATAGAGATAAACCTTCAGGCTTGTTTTAGTTCATATTAGCCACAGATATCCTGTTTCTGGCCCCGTGACAGCAAGAAAACGCAAAGCTACAGAACTAAAGTGTGATTTTCTTTTTTTCTTCCATAGCAAGACACAGCAAAAAATTATAATTTTTTTATAAAGTGTGCAAAAGTAAGTTTCTGAATGTGCTAAATACATGCATCGTATGATTTTCAAATGCACTCAGACACTGAATAAAAAACTCTATATAAAAGTTCCTACAGAAAGACCAGTGGTATTAATGAGCTCTTGTGGTTTTATGCTGATCAAATGTGACGCAGCAGGACAGAGGGTACTTCGCATCAGCACATCTGTTTCAGGCCAGCTGCACAATAAATAAAACATCAGTGAATTTGATGAATCCCACCTTTGGCCGCGAGGATCATCTGAGCATGGACTGCAGCAGGTATGATGGGCTGGGGCAGATCCTGAAGGTACTTCCGCAGACCATCACACAGGACTGGAAGTTCCAGCTGATCCAGATCTGCTGCAGGAGGATCTGAAGTGCAACAGTGCCAGTTACATGTCTACATACGTGCTTGTGCATGACAAAACCGCAGCTCTTTGTGGTGTTTCTAACATCATCAATGTGCAAACACAACTTGTTTCCCACTATCTGAGACTTCCTCTTGTACTAGTCTCACTCAGTGGAAATTTACAAAGTTCACACAAGCAGATTACAATGTGGGGGGGAAAATGTTTCTTACCACAATCATAATATTGTCTGACTTCAAGTCCACCTCCAGCAGTGAATGTTCGATATAAAGTGGGGTTGTCCAGACCTACAAATGATTAAACAAGGTCATTTAATGCAGTTTAGTGAAACTGCTCATGCTAGCGTTCGACGTGGATGCAAAGGATCAGTGTTGAGACAATGAACAGGTGCAGCAGCTCATTACGGTGGGCCACCTAAGTTTTCAGCAGGTGAACTCACCTTTCCTTTCAATGGCTTCCAGCAGTTTGGACAGCAAAGGTGGAGCAGTCTCTGGGAGGGAAAACTGCTCGGTCAAGTCCGGTAAACAGAAGCCTTGTGGAGAACAGAACCAAGAGTCAGTCGAGAATATCGTTTAAAGAAGTCTGTGGCTTCCCAATAATTATTACTAATTAGACTAATACTTAATTCTGAAAACCAAATGAGTATAAAATGAATTACCTCAAGTTACCACCAGACGGTGTGAAAGTGATAAACATCTTTAAAACTGACATTTTTTTAATCCATAGATACACAACAGTCATCAAATACTGAACTAAAATAATAAAAACCAATGTGTGAATTCAAACTAATTTTGCATGTAAACATTTAAAACTATAAATCTTTTTAAAAATCTTGTTTAAGTGATTCAGAACAAATAGTAACATAAGCTAACTAAGGTCGTTTGTTGTTTCATCTCTGGCTTAAAAAACAACACACAACAGATGCTTTCAAATCACATTTTTTAAGATAGGAAACTTTTAAAAATAATTTGGGTTATGTGTAGAGCCCCCCAAACACTCACGCACACGTTTGTTTTTATATCCTCGTGGAGACCGTGCATCAACTTCCATTCATTTTCTGGTCATTTCTCTAACCTAACCCTGACCCCTTATCCTAAAACCCCTCCAGTACATGTCTGACCCTAAATCTAGCCCGAACTCAAATCACACCTTGGTTCTAAAC